CAAATGGTGTCATCACTATAGATTTTGGTAAGAGTGGTGTTTTGAATTAAGAAATAAGAAGAAAGTGACAGGGTTCCTCTTCACAGTTTGAGGTTTTAGTCATAGAAAATATGAGTAGCAATAAAAACAAAAAGCCGAAGAACAGAGTTAGAAGCAAGAATAAGTCCAATAGATTTGCCAATGTTTAAGTGTCATTATTGTGGTTTGAAAGGACGTATAAAAAAATATTACCGGAAGTTGAAAAGAGACAACAATAGTGACAAGGTTAAGGAAAAGAAGAATGGTGATGGTAATGATGCTGATAAAGTTGCTATTGTCACAAATGACTTCCTTATTTTATATGATGATGATAATGTTAATCTTGCACACCATGAAACTAGTTGGGTGATTGATACTGGTGCCATGATTCATGCTACATCTCGGAAGGACCATTTTGCCTCTTACACACCTGGTGAGTTTGGGAGTGTTAGAATGAGTAATTATAGCTTAGCTAAAGCCATCGGTATAGGAAATGTGTTCTTGGAGATCAATAATGGCACTATGTTGCTCTTGAAAAATGTTAAGCATATTCTTGATATTTGCATGAATTTGATTTCTGCAGGGAAGCTTGATGATGAAGGGTTGTGCAACACCTTTTGTGATGGTCAGTGGAAGCTCACTAAAAGTTCTATGGTTGTAGCTAGCGCTCCAAAGCCCTCCTCATTATATTTGATCCAGGCAAAGATATCTAATTCTATTATCAATGCAATAGATAATGATGATACAACTAAGTTTTGGTATAAGCGACTTAGTCACATGATCGAGAAGGGTTTGAAGGTTTTGGCCAAAAAAATTCTTTTTTTTGGAGTGAAGAATGTATTCTTGAAGAAGTGTGCTCATTGCTTGGTAGGGAAACAAACTGGAGTTACATTCAAGATATCCCCTCCATCAAGAAAGCTAGGTATACTTGATTTAGTATATTATGATGTTTGTAGTCCTATGAGAATAAAAACATTTGGTAGTTCCATCTACTTTGTGACTTTTATAGATGATCATTCAAGGAAGATATGGGCTTATACCTTGAAATAAAAAGACCAAGTGTTAGATGTGTTTAAACAATTTCATGCTTTAGTTGAAAGACAAACATGGTTGAAATTGAAATGCAAAAAGACTGATAACGGGGGTGAGTACACTACATCTTTTGATGAGCATTGTAGACAGCAGGGTTTTAGACATCAAAAGTTACCTCCTAAATCTCCTCAGTTGAATGGGTTAGCCAAGTGAATAAATAGGTTACTAATGGAAAGAGTGGGATGTTTGCTTTCACAAGCACAATTATCAAAATCTTTTTAGGTAAGGCTTCGAGTACAGTTATACATGTTTTGAATCTCTCATCATGTCTTCTTCTAGATTATGAGGTTTCACTTAGAGTTTGGTCAGGGAAGGATGTGTCCTATGATCACTTGCGCATCTTTGGATGTAAGGCTTTTGTACATATTCCCAAAGATGAAAGATCCAAGCTTGATGTCAAGATTAGACAGTGTAAGTTCCTTGGTTATGGCCACGATGAGTTTGGCTACAAGTTTTATGATCCAGTGCAGAAGAAACTTGTGAGAAGTAGGGATGTTTTTGATGAAAACCAGACCATATAAGATATTAAGAAGATTGATACATTAGTTCCACGATATAGTGATTGTTTGATTGACTTGGATCTAGTTCCCCTAACAAATGTCCCTATAGAGGTTGAAGATGTTGAGGATAACCAACAAAGTACAGGCGATGTTGATACCAATCCTACACAGGTTGAGGTGGGTGATGATACTCATGAACAATCACCTGTATTAGAAGTTCAACCACAAGTTTTACCAGAAGTTTCACTCAAGAGGTCTACTAGAGATCGACATCCCTTCACACGGTATTTTGTTGACGAGTATGTGCTACTAACTTAGGGGAGATAACTTGAACGTTATGCAAAGGCCATGGAAGATGAACACAAGAAAGAGTGGGTTGATGCCATGCAAGATGAGATGAAGTCTTTGTTTGAGAATAATACTTTCAAGCTGGTAAAGTTGCCTAAAGGAAAAAGAGTTTTAAAGAACAGATGGGTATACAGAGTGAAATGAGAAGAACACACTTCACAACCACATTTCAAAGCTAGATTGGTTGTCAAGGGATTTAGTTAGAAGAAAGGTATTGACTTTGATGAAATCTTTTCTCCTGTTGTTAAGATGTCATCTATTTGTGTGGCTCTTGGTTTAGCAACTAGTCTTGATTTGGAGATTGAGCAGATGGATGTCAAAACTGCTTTTCTCCATGGTGACTTGGATAAAGAGATTTACATGGAGCAGCCAGAGGGTTTCATAGTAAAAGGAAAAAAGGACTTTGTGTGCAAGCTGAAGAAAAGTCTTTATGGGTTGAAGCAAGCACCAAAACAGTGGTATAAAAAGTTTGAGTCAGTTATGGGTGAGTACGGCTACCGATAAACTACTTCTGACCATTGTGTATTTGTGCAGAAATTCTCTGATGATGATTTTATCATATTCTTGCTTTATGTTGATGACATGTTGATTGTTGGTAAGAATGCTTCTAGAATTAACTAGTTGAAGAAGCAATTGGGTAGATCTTTTGCTATGAAGGATTTGAAGCCAGCACTATATTGAAAAGGAGCTTGAAAAATTCAACATGGATCAAGCTAAAGTGGTTAGCTCTCCTCTTGCTACATCCTTTAAGCTAAGTATTAATCAAAGCCCTTCTACAGCTACGGAGAAAGAAGACATGAGAAGAGTTTTGTATGCTTCAACAATAGGAAGTTTGATGTATGCAATGGTGTGTACTAGGCCAGAGATAGCCCATGTAGTTGGTGTTGTTAATCGCTTTCTGTTAAATCCAAAAAGAGAGCATTGGAATGCAGTTAAGTGGATTATGAAATATCAATGAGGCACTTTCGACTTGAGATTCACTTTTGGAAGTGAGAATCTAGTGCTAGTTGGTCACATTGATTCAGATATGGCAAGAGATGTTGATTCCCGAAAGTCTATTTCGAGTTATTTGATTACGTTCTTAGGTGGGGCTGTATCTTGGCAATCGAGACTACCGAAATGTGTTGCACTTTCTACAATAAAGGCAAAGTATTTTGCAACCATTGAAACATGTAAAGAGTTATTGTGGATGAAAAAATTCATATAAGAACTCGGTTTCAAATAGCAATGCTATGTGATATTTTGTGATAATCAAAGCGTAATTTACCTTGGTAAGAATTCTACTTTTCATTCAAGATCAAAGCACAATGATGTGAGGTAACATTGGTTAAGAGATGCTCTCAATGATAACTTGTTTGAACTTGAAAAGATTCACATTGATCACAATGGTTCTAATATGTTAACAAAGACACTACTAAGAGAGAAGCTCGAAGTTTGTTGTTCGATTGTCGGAATGGTGATTCCCTCCATATAGTCAGAAAAAAGGAGATTTGTTGGGCTTTGTTTCCTCCATGTGGAGGTAGCCTAAACCAAAGCCCATCCATTAAGGGCTTTTTAGTCCTTTCATACTTGGTTATAAGGTTTTAAACTTGGAAAAAAGAAACAAGAGAGGTGTGGTGGCAATAGAGAACAAAAAAGAGAAAAAAAGAGGTTATGTACAGTTTTGATCAAGCAATTTGATTGAAGTTAATCCGTTGCCTGATTGAACTAAAATTTTATTAATGTATTTATAACTCATTGTTTTTCAGTCTGAACGGTGGAGATCGGATTTTAAGTTTCTACCTACTGATTTCGTGGGTATTTGTTAATTTCTAAATTTGCTAAAACTTCTCTAATTTTTTTTTGCAAGATTATTTCTTTACTAAGATTATTTAATCTTGAGCTATTGTGGTTGTATACCTCTAATTTTAGTATATAGAACTTTGTATTCCTATTATTTTGATAGTAGAAATTATTTGATGCTATCCGTGATTTTTACTCATTATTTTGAGAAAGTTTTTCACATAAATTGCTTATATTCTTGTGCTTGTGGTTTGATGATTTATTTGTTAGCGCTATTTGTTTGATTCCTGCTGAATTCATAAAAGAGAGAGATAATTTGATTTTTTTGCTGCATGATATTTTCGATTTGAATATTATTTAAGGTTATTTTATTCCATTAAAAGCAATAATGAAACTAAAGATCATTAAATCAATTAAATGCTCAAGAAACTCTCTCATGATAACCAAGTTGCTGATTTTGGAACACAGGGTAAAAACGAAACCCAATTTCAACAGGCAAGCATCAGAAGATATTGAAAAACCAGAGACGAGAGACGATGAACCCAAAAAGTAGAATGTAAAAAAATTAAAAAGAAAGAGGAATGACCTGAAGCCGAGGGTTTTGGGTGTCTTTGAGGAAACTTAATGCGTGGAATTCTCTTGAGTGCCTGCTCTGCTCCCATCTTCCACCTGCACCTTTCACTTGCCCTTTTTCTCTCTGCTCTGCCTCTGCTTTTCCGGAAGTTGGAAGAATCGTTATCTTGTAATGCTACTTTTTTATTTATTAGTATTCTTTACCAACTTTTTTTTAGTAATAAAATAAATAAATGATTGTTTTTCAACTTTTACTGTCTTTTTTTTTGTCGTTTTTGGCATTTACAACTTTTTCTTTTTCTTTTTTTTTAAAACACAAGGCAAAGGGAAACAAACACACACAAGGAAGACAAAAAGTTACGGAGACGCCTTTGGACAAGTCTGGCTTCGATTCTGCTGCTACTTCAAGAATTTTTATTTATTAAAATATTTTCATACGCTTAATTTTTTATAAAATCCTAATGTAATTTGGGCCCATCTGCAATTGAAATTTGGGCCTGAAGACCGTTTTATCGTTTACACGTGGCAATTTTGTAGCATCAAAACGTGGTTGGATCATCAAACACCAACACGACGCCGTCGTTTTCTCTCTTGATTCATTCTTCCATTTGATGATCAAAAACCAAAGTTTTTTTCTTTGTTCTACACTTTCCAGGTAGATATCTAAAACTGAAAGAACAGCAAAAAATGGCAAGAGCCAACCTGAGCCGTATATTCTCATCAATCTCGGAGCTTTCCATCCCCAAACCGTCTTTTACTAGTTTCAGATCTGAGTCGTCGGCTCGGTCCGCTTCCAATTCGGCCAGTCGGTTCGTGTGCTTCTCTGCTCAGCAACCTCAATTGAACCATGAAGAAAAACCTAACGAGGAAAAGCCGGAAGCGGTGAAGGAGAATCTTGAAATTGAGAAAAAAGAAGAAGAAGAAGATGAAGATGGGGATCATTTGAATGAAGAGACGGGGGAGGTCGGCGGGCCCAGAGGCCCTGAGCCCACTCGCTACGGTGATTGGGAACGCAATGGTCGCTGCTACGACTTCTAATTCTTTTTTTATTTCCTTTTAATTTTTATATTAAGAATGTCAAACTGAAGTGTTTTAATGATTGTGATTTCTTGGAACAAAAAAAAAAAAAAATCTTGTTAGAATGAAATTAAAAATTTTGCTATTTAATTGTTTCATTTTATTTCTGCCTTTTTCAAAGGTAGGTCATGTTTCTTTTATTGTTTAAAAGTCAATTTTGAGATGTCTGAGGTGATCATTTTCATGCACGCATTATTGATGGATGACTGGTATATAATATTTCGTATGGTTTTTTCCTTTGATGATGAATTTCCAATGACTGTTTTTCAGCAGTTTTATACTCTTTTTAACTTTTGGGGTCCCAAGTTTGATGTATTAATTCACGTTTCTGAAAGTAAAAATAATACATGAAAAACAAGTCGGCTATTGCCTATTTGCTCAAAATCCATACTCAATTTCCAATTGCCTCCTCCACTCCAACTGCCTTATTCTATGATCAGTTCAGTGTCTCAAGATCTCAATTGTGTTCCTCATGCTTGTTTAATTGTTTTATTAGTCTGCAAATGTATCTCAAGATCTCAACTGTTTTCCTCATGCTTGTTTTATTGGTCTGAAAATGTTCTACAAATGTTCTGTTTGCTTTTGTTTTTTTTATTTCACTTTGAAATTTAAAAATCCAAGTTTTATAGAGATTTCATTACAATTTAGAGATTTTGGGTGGGCTGCAATCATTGACCCTCATCTTCGGTTTTAATAAAGATTACTGTTAACTTTTGTCTTTATTATACATGTTAATCACTGATTAGAAATGCCAGACATTTGTCTTTTGAAGGGCTCTAAATATTACAATCTGGATTTTTTTTCCCCAATAAAGGATTTAACCTGCTTCAAATAAGCAGTAGGGTCGGTTGAATTGCCCATAAAATACTGTATGACATTCTTTTCAAATGACATTGAGTGAAGCCCTGTTTCATTTTGAGCTTTTCATATTAACAGCCCAGAAAAGATTAAGACTATAGATTATGTGTTCATAAATTCTGACACATTAATCATATTCTCCTTATATTATTAATGTGATTGTAGCTTTTCATTCCAAGCATCGACATGGAAATTCTCAAACTCATCTCGTCTTCCTTCTTCATCATCATCTTCTTCTTCTTCTGCTCCTTCTTATATACTACAACAAGCACAGATACATGCATAAAAGCCGTCTGTCGCAGAACCGAGCCTATGATCCGATTCCCCTTTCGGATTGAAGGCCGGCAGCGCAAGTCTTGTGGCTATCCAGGTTTTGAATTATCTTGTGATCATAACTCAAGCCAAACGTTACTCGAGCTGCCTTACTCCGGAAAATTCAGCGTCCAAGGGATTGATTATGCTGCACAAGAAATATGGATCAATGATCCCAACAACTGCCTTCCTCAAAGAATTCTTTCGCTTAACCTTTCTGGTTCTCCGTTTACTGGTGTTTATTATCCAGATTTTACATTCTTCAATTGCTCTTTAGACTATTTGAAGTATGGATTAAACCCAATTGCTTGCCATAGTGGTGGTAATTACACAATTTTTGCTACTTCGTTGACAAGAGTGGTTAGTTCTTTGTCATTATCCTGCCAACGAGTTGCAACTGTTCCAGTCCCTGTTGAGTGGCCTTTTTATGACCAAATATTCTCATCAGACCTCAGCAACAATCTCTGGCTAACTTGGAAAAAACCTAAGTGCCGGATGTGTGAATCAAGGGAAGGCAAGTGTGGGCCAAAGGCCAATTCTATTCAAGAAATTATTTACTCTAGTGTTCCTGGAAGAGGTAACTTTGTTTCTGCTCTGTTTTTGAAAGTTTGAATTCTTGACAAAAATAGCTGGTTCCTTATCATTTTTGATCGACAAAGAATCTTTCTAAATAAACTTCCATGTCACCGTACTGGAACAAAGAAATAATGCTGACTGGTTGAAGAACAAATTAAAGCAAATTGAATTGACTAGTTTGGCCAATGTTCATGTCATGTAAATGACATTTTCGGTTTAGGATAATCTTCATGATAAGCGTTGACGGAACGATAGTAATGACATCGGCCAATGAAAGGTTTGAAGTGCTCTTTTTGCTTGAATTGCCCTCAATGCTTTCCTGACCGTAATTATTATTACCTCTTGATCTCGTTGACTTATGAGATTATAGCAAAAGGCCAAATGGCCAATGGCTTGATTTGATCAAACATTCGACAGGTTCGGATGCCTACAACCATGCGCAGGGGAAGTAGTTATGAAAAAGGTCATGTCCCGTGTCAGAAAAATCTCTATGTGGCAAGTTGCCATTGGCTCTAGTTACACTAGAGTACATCCTGAAATAGGCCTTTGGCCCCGAGCTATTTCATCCTTTTTCTTCCCCTTGTGAATGTACTGTAGAATTAGATTGCCATCAAAATTATCTTGGGTAACATTTAACTCTAGGCTGAAACTCCATTATCAGGTATTCCAAGGAGTGCTCGCTATGCAATCACAGTTGCTGCAGGAATACCAATCCTCTTATGTATCTTAGGCCTTTTATGCTTTCCTTTGTGGCAAGGTCAAGTCCTATGCTGTAAGAGATCATCCTACCCCAGAGTTCAGTCCAACGGTCGCTCTGCAGCCCACCATAGTGGGTGGCCTTGATGGGCCAACCATTGAATCGTATCCAAAAGTTGTGCTAGGTGAGAGTAGGCGCTTGCCCAAGCCTGATGACAACACTTGCCCAATATTCTTTGTCTGAATACTGAGCCAAGGAGACCCTCAACAGTCTACCCCAATGCCAACATTGTTTCCATGCTGATTGCAGGGACGAATGGCTCCGATTGAATCCTACATGCCCCATTTGCGGGAATTCCCCAGAAAGTTTATCTTCAACCGTTCAGGATTCATGATGCTTCCATTTTGCTACTGTTAGAATCTTTCTATTATTTCTTTTCCTAAAACTCTGTAGATAACATTTTTTATTTTTTGCAACGTGTAATTTAGTGTCTGCAGTTCTGATTGTACCACATTTGCATGCATTGGCTTTTCTTTTTCTTTGTTCCCATTTTTTTTTGCCGGATCTTTCTTTTCTTCTCTGGCTATAATTCGTTTTCAAGGGGAATGATCAATGAGGCCCTAAGAACTTTAGTGGCTTTTAAAGGTCATCCTCAACTTAATCTGCCAAATTATAATATTATAACTCCGAACCTCTGCTTCTTTACTGGATTGGAGTGAGACCATAGAAGCCATAAATTCATTAAAAAGGCATATAATTTCACATCTCTAGTCCCTAAGCCACCAAACCTTTTGGGTTAAATCAAAGTGTTTCAACTAATAGATTAAAAATGCATAACTACTGATGACTTTGATGAGTAATGCAGTAGTCAACTAATAGATTATTTCATCTTTTGCTTCTATTCTAATTCAGAAATGGTGGCAAGCTCTCTATTAACAGGCTTCCTAGGCAAGGTGGCTCCCATCTTCGTCTGATCCGTAGTGGCAAAAGGATTTGGCGGTATTGTAAGAGCCTTAGCATCTCCTTCTAACATTTGAACCACAACTTTCATTGGAGGACGATCAACGGGATACCATTGAATGCACCAAAGTCCGACGATTGTGAGCTTCTTTGCCATCTCTGTTTGCTCTTCATCTTCAATTCTGATCCCCAGCTCCTCTCCTTTATCCAAACGATTATACGCCCATTCTGGGAAGTACACTTGGCTTGTATTCTCCACTGTTAAATCTATATTCTTTCTTCCTCCAACCATTTCAAGCAATAGCATTCCAAAACTATAAACATCTGACTTATACGAGACATTTCCAAAGTTTCGAGACAGTACCTCGGGTGCGATATAGCCCATGGTTCCTCTGGCTGTTGTCATAGAAATAGCACTTTGTTCCTTGGAGCACAATTTAGCTAGACCAAAGTCAGAGATCTTAGGATTGAAGTTGTGGTCTAGCAAAATATTGTGAGGTTTGATATCAAAATGGAGAATCCGTTGCTCGCAACCTTGATGCAGGTATTCGATGCCTTTGGCTACACCAAGAGCAATATCATGAAGCTTGTCCCAACTAAGGGAGCGATTTCCGCCCTTGGCTGCAAATATGAACTTCTCTAATGACTCATTGGGTAGATATTCGTAAACAAGAGCTCGGTCATATCCGTCAGCACAAAATCCAACCAAGCGAGTCACGTTGACATGGTGGATTCTACCCATCGAACCCACTTCATTGATGAACTCTTCACCATTTCCTTTGAAATTATTGAGGACCTTAACAGCAACTAAAACATCATTGGAAAGTCTGCCTTTGAAGACAGTTCCATAACCTCCTTGTCCCAATTTGTCCTTGAAATGATTTGTTATCCTTTTAATATCAGCATAGGAGTATCTTGAGGGTTTAAGTGCTCTATAATCTTCCAAAAACTTTTCAATCTTCAGTTGGCTTTCTTTCTTTCTTTTGTCCAAGTGAAGTGCCCAGCCAACTCCAACGGCAATCGTTGCAAAAATAAAGGAACCTAACACTACACCTGCAACCGTTAGCCCTTTTTGTGCACCTGTGAAACATTTAAAGTTAATCAGCTTGATCGTTTTATGTTTTATCAGACTGTAATTTTGAAAGCATGTTCTCCCGGGTGATAAATGTTTGCAAGCCTGAGAGAAAGGAATGCAAGCATAAGGTCCAAAACATACAACACTTAAAAAATCAAGATAAGGTCACAAAAGGTAAATGTTGGAAACAGAGTAACGCAATCAGAAAAAAAAAAAAAAGGGAAATTTTCATCATATGCGGATTCTTAGTCAGTGAAAATCAATAATTTATTAAACTTGAAATTTAATTCAGTTAGTCCATACTTATTTTAAAAATTGATATCTAACCAATTTATGATTCAAAATTTAACATCAGTAACACTTCTTCTCTCCCTTTTAAACAAAAAAACCAATTAATAAATTACTAGTAGTTATTACCACTTTTGCATCCATTTCTGTTTTGGTCGTTTTCTCATATTTAGCAGGTTTCCTCCCAAGGGTAGGAAAATGCAAATATGGGCTCATAACAACATTAATATTCACTTAGATGCATGCCGTGGACTTAAACCCAAAACATTCTTCAGGGTAAATGCAGTCTAACAAAAAAAGTTCAGAACTAGAAAAAATGAGCAGTCCAATAGTTAAACATACCTATATGGTGCCTGGGGATATCAGAACACTCCGTATACTGTGTGCTATTACTCTTCAGTTTACATCCCCTGCCTTGCGCTTCACATTCCCTACAGTTTGGTTTGTTCCAATATAATTGAAACCGGATAAGATCCGGAGGAATTGCTGCCGAGAAGTTGCCAATTTTGCTGCAATTTAACAGGTTCTTACCATAAGCATAGCCATCGGAATCAAAAGCTATAATTTGGGAGTCAGGGGTGCTTAAGCAAGGGACTCTATAGCTTCTATACAAAGACGCATCTTCGCTTGAACAATTGAACAAGGTGTAGGAATTAAATGACCGGTACGGTCGAACTTGTTGGTGGCCATAGCTTTGCTGTTCGTACATGAATGGAAAAGCAGATAAATTGAGATCTAAAAGCTGCCGCCGGGGGCAACGACCAGGATCATACAAGTGAATCCGCTGTGCTTCATAATCTATGTGCTTCACCAGTAACTTCATAGAACGTGGCAGCTTCAGCATAGTCTGGTTGTTTTCTGAGCAGGACAGTTGAAACCCAGGGTGAGGATAGCCACAGTGGGGTGACTGGAGGCCTTGTAATCGGAAGGGGAACCGGACGGGTGGCTCATGGTCTTTGCACCACTTCACCTTGCAATCGTCTTGGATTGATACAGCTTCTGCAACATTCAGTGCCAAAACAAAGCAGAATAAGTAAATTACCATCATTATTACAAAGTTTTCAGTGCCTGAAGCGGATTGGGGCCCATATCGTCCCATTACTATCGGTGGTCTGCTCTTCAGAGTTCAAAATTGCACAGAAGTGCTGCTTTTACGCTTCTGGAAAGGAAAGCTTTATATGTAATAGTTTATTTCTTAATTTTAATTCTAAAGTCAAACACTAATTAAGGTCCAAAAAATCTAAACAAATATAGCTTCGTCGGACAGAAATATACCAGTAATTCTTTAATTTTTTATAATATATTTTCGGTAACGACTGCCAAATTCTACTGTGATTTGTGATCATACCGGGACAACTTACTGACTTTTCTTTTCCTTTTCCGATGAAAATACTTTTTTTTTTCAATAATTTCAGATAAGAAACGGACTGAATTAAGTATTTTTTGGACCATTATTATTTTTTTTTCACATATGGAGTCGTTCTTTTTTAGTAAGATGGCAACAATAATCGAGAGATTGAAAATACTACACATAAATAATTGATTTGGATGGATACTTAAATTTAGGACTAAATTGCGTTAACATTTAAAGGTTTTAACACCTGCCCGCCTGCCTGAACTCCACGAGGTGAGGCACCGCATTCAATAATATAATAAAGTGTGCGTTGAAATCGCAAGCCGGATAGAGTTCTCAGCTCGATCCAAATTTTATTTGTGGATAAATAATACAATTATTTTAGATAATTCATGCATCATTTTGATCCTTATTTATTTATTTATTTATTTGTTTTTGAACACCATAGTTATAAATAAAAAAAAGTGTATTTATTTGTTAAGAACTATTAAGTATGGACTTCATATACTTGATATTGCTGGGATACTATTACTAATATGGAGTCTATCTTAATTCTTGACTAGTTAGATGTGTACTTATATTTATGTTTCTTAATGACAGGTTAATATTTAAGGTGAAGGACTTAAAAGGATTTATGTTTTAACCTTATGTATTTTCAAAGTATCAAAATTGATATACACAAAGTTATGTAATTGATAATACATTTTTTATGCCTTCTTTATGTAAAAATGAAGCCAAATACAGTGTATTTTAACATTTCAAAACTCATTACCAAATTTCAATAATTTATTTATACAAATCTACATATGCACTTTGATTTTCAAGCTCTAAATTGAGTTTCGTGGAAGCTGCCTCAGGACCTGTTTTCCATGAATTTTGACAAGTCTTTTCCTAATTTCTAGGATACTAGTAATGAATTCCACATCATGTCAGTCATTTCAACAACTCAGAGTGGAAATTATAGTCTATACTACAAATTCATGGAAGATTCCTCTTTCTTTTCTGAATCATAATATCTTCAAGGTTTTCTAGCGTGTATTTAAAAATTAGAAAACACTCAAAGAGTGGATAGAAAAGAAATTGTGTAGGAAAAATCAAAGTAAGAACAATCAACAAAGACTTAGAAGTCAACTGGTTGACCAACGACCATTTCAAAAAACCTTGCCAGCCCACTTGTGCGGTTTACTATTTCGCCGAGAAATTTCAGTTTTCTAGAATTCCTGACCCAGCGGCTGGCCTTCTTTTTGTGGAGCAACAAGGAACGAAAATGGAATAAACGAAATTATTTTGTGACATAGAAGTTTAATGACCCAAGTTGGCCCATAGCTCGCATTTCAATACCCTCTTTTATTAAAAAGTATCCCCTAAAGGATATGAGACTGTCAGGTTTTTTTTTTTTTTTTAATTTTTTTTACGGTTTTTTGTTATTTCACTAAAATTAAATTAGGGTTTTATTGGTCAAAAAGTTCTTTTAAAAGATATAGGTGTTTTTTTTTTGTTATTTTATCTTTTACATATGTGTTTTAATTGTAATTTTGAAATTTTTTTTAAATTTTTATTACTGTTACAGAGAGTGGAGCTTTTGGCATGAAAAAAAGTTTTCTCAAGTTTTTTTTTTTCATTTTTTTCAACTATTTTGAGTAAAATCTATGATTATTTTTTATTATTTAATTGAATATGAGTTTTATTATTTATTTATTTTTTTGAGTTTTCTTAGGATAATTTTGCTGTTACACATTTTCATTTTGTTAATGGAGTTAGATTGTTAAATGGGTTTTGGGTTTTGTGGTTCTGAAGTTTGTATTTTGTTGTGGATGTGTTCTTTTTTTTAGAAAAATTTTCTCTTTGCATATTGTGATGTTGGATGAAAATAAGATTGTTGTTTATAAAGACATAGTTTTGTAGTATATAATTTGTGTTTTTTTTTTTGTTTATCTTTAATACCTGTGTTTCAACTGCAATTTGGAAGGTTTTGTTTTGGATTTTTATTCTTGCTTCAGAGAGTGGAGCTTTTGGTGTGAAAGAGAGGCTTCTTAGGTTCTTTCCTTTTTTTTTTTTAGTTGTTTTTGGATAAAATTTGTGGCTATTTTTTATTATTTAACTGAGTGTGGGTTTTGGTTTTTTGGATTTCCTTGGGATGATTTTGCTATTGGGGTATGGGTTTTGTGGTTTTTAGGTTTGCATGTTGTTATGAATATGTTTTTTTAGAATAATTTCTCTTTGCATGTTCTAATATTGGATGAAAATTGGATTGTTGTTTATAGAAACATAATTTTGCAATGTATAATTTGTCTTTTTTAGGAGTATTTTGTTTTGCATGTTGTTTGAATGAAGTTGTCATTTTCCCTTTTATTGATTTTTTGTTGTTTTTTGTCTCACGATTTTTTCAAGTATATATACACCATAAAGATCAGTTACACTCATTTGTCTTTTACAGCTTTCAGTTACTGTGCATTGAGTGAAGCATTGATTCAATAACAAAAGAGAAAACAAGGTTGAAAAGCAATGAAAAGTTGAAATTCCTAGAGTGAAATTGGGAACTCAAAGATTTGAGGTAAGATTTTATTTTTCTAAAAATAGTCAATATGAGATTGCATTTAATGTTTATGAGCTAATAGGCTTTCAATTTTGATAACTTTGTAACTGTTTCTAATTTTTTTATTACATATTTCTTAAAAAGACTTTTAATTCAATTAGAATTTAACTTTCAATCAAATTTACATTATTTTCATGTCTAAAACAGTATCTTTTTGTCTCATTTCTATTGTAAACTTTATCATTCTATATGTTTTCAAGTTAGGGTTTGGCTATATTGGACTACTAGAATGTACAATGGTATTATCTTTGAAGATGTTGGCTTATCAATCATCAAGCATACATTTGACAAAGGAATCACTTTCTTTGATACATTAGACATCTATGGACCCAAAACTAATGAAATATTGGTTAGAAAGTGTTAATGGCATATAATGGTTAAAAGGGCATAGTGGTTTTTTCTCCTTTTCAATCTTTAGCAGATAATCAAGAGTATCTTGATCATTTGTGCTAACCTGATATTTCAAGTTGATTTGACATCTCCAGTGCCACCTCAGCTCAGCTCTACCCTAATTGTCCCCTTTTTGTCCCTCACAACTTACTTATAAATATAGAAATTTAGGCACCATGAAGTAGGTTCATCTAATTTCATATCTTTTTCTCCTTCTTACTTTCTCACTTTCTTTTTGATTTGATTCTTACTGACTTGTTCATCAGAATGCAAAGGCACTCCCGGTCTTTACCTATAACCATTTTTTTTTTTTTTGCATTCTCAGAAATGCTCGCGGATCAGAGCTTGTTATCAACATTTAATGCGTCAAGTAGGGGAAGATTTCATATTAGTCGAGCATAAAACAATGTCGTTAAGAAAAAGAACCCAAGAGGAAAGAGAGGTAGCTGTCTTACCTGGAATAAAAACTCACCTAAACCAGCATTCTATCCATCTAGCCTAACTAAAAGGGGGACCAACTATGGAGCAATTTCAAGCTCTAACTGAAAAAATACAAGCTCTCAAGCAGATGCTGCAAACCATAACCTGCTACAAGTTTTTAAAGTGCCAAACTTAGTCACACCAGGCTGAGAAATTATCGTCAGGCAATCGAACTACGAAGAAATGAAAGCTTTCTCAGCCTTTAAAAAAGAAAAACACATAAACCCGACTTCTTATCACCTCAGCCATAATTCTACACATGCTATAACCCAAAAGTCCAAACAAACAAACCATGAACCCTAGCTGAATAGAGATTTGAAAGCCCAGATGCAGGTCATGAAAAAAAAAACTAAAAACAAAAGTGGTGGCATTTGAGGATGAGCTTAAATTCTTAGAGACCTCACTTTTTATCGAAGAGATTGATAAAGTTGTACCTCTCAAAAGATTTAAAATATCGATCTTAAAGACATATGATGGTACTTCTAACCTTTTTTATTATTTAAAACTTTATAGAACTAACATGATAATACATGGGGCAGACGAGGCTTTGATGTGCAAGGGTCTGGCTACTACTCTGAAAGGCATAGCTCGATCTTGGTATAGTAGTTTAGAGTCAAAGTTGATCATTACTTTTGAGATGCTCAACCACTTATTCTTGTCTCGATTTGTGAGTAGTCAAAGAACTAAGAAAATAACCTTAAGCCTGATGTAAATTCATTAAAGGTGGAATGAAACTTTAAAAAGCTATGGTTTTAACGTGAAAGCTCTACAAGTTAAAAATCTAAAACAGACAACAACTGTTACTGCACTGACTAGTGGACTCAATGATAAGAAATATCACTTAAAGTTGACATTGTCACTAGAATCACCCAAAACTCTAGTTGACGTCCTGCTAATAGTAGAGAAAAACATCAACGTTGAAGCTATAATGAAAACAAATCGAGGTGAGAGAAGCTCATCCTTCTTCTTCGATGGTGAAGATCAAAGAGGCTCATCCTCCCTTTTCGATCATAAAAAAGATAAAGAATTCTATGATCTTTCTAAAAAAAAAAGATAATATAAGATTAGAAGCCTAGTAGAGAAAGAAGCTATATTACACTAAATACCTTTCGTGAGAGGATTCTAATGTAAATAAAAAAAATCTCAACCTCAAATGGCCTAAGCCACTAAGACAGAATACAAAGCGAGATTCGACAAAAAAAAATGCTTTTCATAAGGACATCGACCATAACATCGAAGATTATGTTGACCTAAAAATTGAGATTAAAGCTATGATAAGATGATGTCAATTAAAAGATTCATGGGTCAAAGAAGATAAGATTAGTTTAGAAAGGACTACAAGCATAACCATAGAATACCTATTCGGGGCAGAGAAAAAAGAGTAAATTAGGAAAGAAGAGATGCCCAAAAAGAAGAGCCGAATCAATAAGAGAAATGAG